GCGGGAGGCGGAACTCGGACGCGGAGGCGGAGGAGACGAAGAAGACGAACCCCGTCGGAAAAAGCGGAGGCGGACGGCTTCGTGCTGCGCGATGGTCGGACGCGGGAATCAGGATTCGAAGGCGTAGGTGTAGGCGGAGGTGGAGGTCGAAGTCGTAGGCGGAGGTCGAAGACGGAGGAGACGAATAGGAAGACTATGGAGGGTTCTGCTTATGTTCTGTGTGTAGTGTGTGTGAACTGCGTGTGGTGTGGTGTGGTGTGGTGTGGTGCCGTGCCCATTTCCTATGCCCATTCCAGAAGAAAGAAATCAACGGCCCCAGATTTAAGTTTTATATTCATTTAATCCTGACCGTATATACAGAAAATATTCGCTGGCCAGTTAAATTTATCTCTTGTAAGTTTATATTTAGTTTATTTGTAATTTATAACAAGTTTATATTATCAAAGCTCCTCAAAATTGTGTTCCTATACCAAACATAAATCATTAATAATCATTAAAAAAACATTGAAATCCAAAATTCAAATAAAATATACACCCTCGACTTCAAATCATAAAACCCACAAATTCACGTCCAAAACCTAGAAATATACACTCAAAAACTTTGTCGTCTCGAGTTTCACGTGATGGTAGCAGCGGCAGATCGGGCATTCGACGATGTCTATGTGGAGCCGACAAAAGGAGACAACAGACCTGACCATAGAGTCGCAGCCCGTACGATCGTGGTTGGAGTCTCTATCCTGGAATATGGCGGAGATTGGAATTTTGAGCTCAGATGGACGACGTGCGGCGAAACTCAGCCTCTTTTCTGATTTGATCTGATGACAGTTTTAATTACCTTGATCGAGGATGGCGTTTGCGGCAGTCATTGGCAAATCCAGACATCGAAAATGCACATCATCATCAAACGGACCATTGTGAACAGTGAATTGCAATTTGACAGTGGACCCTTTGTCCATGACTCTTTTGTTTATCAATTGCGAGAGTGAGCGGCGGATAGGGTAGAAATTAATATAGAGGTTTTAGATTCTATGAAAGAGATGTGATTGGTAACATTTTTAGTATGCAAAATATTTGCTTCAGTTAAAGATTTAGAATTTATTGAGAAGATTGATTATTTATTAGGATTAATCGAACAGTACCGAACCGACCACTGAATTTTTGGTTAAAATTCAAACCGAATCGTAAATTTTGGTTATGATAATGGACAAGTCGAATTTTCGATTAACAAAAAATTTGGTCAGTTCGGTTTCGACCGCGCGATTGTGCAACCCTACATTTAAATGTGGAATGACTTAATTTACTCTAACCAAATTGATTCATCAACCGATTCACAAATCAAATGTTGGCACTATATGAGTAATAATATTTTATCAGTTTTGTTATGAAGTCAACAGTCTATAGTAGAGTCAACCTTCTATATACAACAAGTAAAACGTGCTAATAATTTTATTAATATGATATAGTTTACTCGTTGTACATATAAAGTCGTTGACTTCGTAACAAAACTATTTATTTTAATATGTATAATTAAAAGGAAATAACGAAATTTTTGTCACATATATATGTAGCACAATCCTAACGAACTATTATAGCGTAGCATTATGTGGAATTCGGAAATCCAAATCACTTAAAAAAAATAAAAATAAAATCATATTATTAATATTTTTCAGATAAATAAATAAATATAAGGATAGGCTGTCATCTCATCTGCATATGGACAACTCGTTAACGCCCGGCCCATTCCTAAAGCAACATGTGCGTGCTTCCTCCTCCTCAGTCCCCTCCTCTGCCCCCAATCAAACGCGTAATTATGGTATCAAATCAATACCTATTTATTCACACCTCAATCCTTTCTATTCTAAATTAATTTGCAATTCAAACGCCCAACTTCAAATTAATTAACATCAAGTCCTTGTGTTGTATTTCACCTTCTTCCCCAAAATTGCATTTTTTTTATATTTTTTTTTTATTCGGAGAATGGGGGCAAAAACGCAGAGGTTTTCGAGTCTTGTCGGTTTGTGGGTTGTCCTGAGCGCCGGATTAGTGTTCTCCGACGGGAGGGCGCACCGGAACGCCTATGCAACCATGATGTATATGGGGACTCCGAGAGACTACGAGTTCTACGTAGCTACACGTGTCATGCTCAGATCTCTCCGGGAGCTTGGGGTCGACGCCGATCGTGTCGTCATTGCCTCCATGGATGTGCCCGTCCATTGGGTACAAGCTCTGTGAGTTCCAACTCGGCGTTTTCCTTTTTTTATTTTTTTATTCATTTTATTTATTATGAAAGAAATTGGTTTCCTATTGATGTTTTTTGGTCTGTGTTTTGGCCTTTTGGGCATCACAATTTATTTATTTATTTATTTATTTTATTTTTCTTGTGTTTTGAAATAACAGTGTCATTAGCTACAGTAGAAAAGTGAACGATTCACATTGAATTTTATATCGACTCAAAAAAAAAAAAAGTGAATCGTTAACTTTTGCAATAGAGCTGTCACACTCGTTTAGTTAACAAATTGGACTCTGTTCAGCTCGATAAGATTCGAAAAGTAATTTTTTATAGTTTACTTAGTTATCAAAACGAGCGAGTGGACAAGTAGTTGAAGTTGCTATTTTTCTACTCTTTTAAATATAATAACAAAAATTAATAAACATTCCTAATTTTTTTTTTTCATTATAATTTATAGTCTTAAAATATCTTTGCTATTGTGGTCTGAGTCTACTAAAAATCAGCTAACAAATTTTAGGACTAAAATTGCAACTTGGTGTTTATAGTCAACTAAGTTAGATAACTTGGTCCAACGACTTGGAGACCACAATTTGTCAAACAAATGCTATCTAAGGTCACTAATTTCTTCGGAAGTACTTTAATTTCATGTGAGTATTTAGTATTTTATTTTGTTTAAGTTCTTAATTCTTGGTTTATTTTCAGAAATTCAATTTATTATATGCAAAAATAAAGAACAAGAGTTGATAAAATGTTTTTTGTCCCATTTTTCTTGAAAGGGAAAAAAGGTGTTTGGGGTAAAAGATACAGACAAATTTTACGGTCTCGTTATAGAACTATTCCATTGAGATTCATAATCGTTAGAAAAATTATTCTCAACGATTAGATAGTAGTTTAACAATAACAAATCCCGACGGAATGATTCCGTAACAAAATCGTAGTATTTCTCAAAAGATATATAGGGAGTCTACATACAAGAGAGAGATGAGGCCAAATTTCACGAGTGGACTTTCTAATTAAGAAATGCAATTACTTAACTGGTCCTACTGCCCAATAATATAAAGTATATTTTGTCTGGCTTCTCGATTGGCATTAAAGGTCCACTGTGGGGGTGACTTGACCTATTTGTTCCTAGTGTACCCACCGGCCATTCTTGAATCTTGAGTAAATATCCAATATTTTCTTTTTTTTTTTAAAAAAAAATAAGTATATTTAATTTCATACAACTTAGGAGAATTGATTTCTTCAATAT